TTAGGAAGAGTTTCTTGGTTGGGAGCCAACACCACTGAAATTGCATACGAGAACTCATCAACATCAAGCTAACTATCAGTGGGTTAATGAAAAGGCTAAAAAGGCTCATGTGAGTATAATTTTTTAGAGTTTGGAAATAGAAATTTATTATAATAAAACTAATTATAATATCAATATATTTTATGGATTTATTATTGCAGGATGATTTTGTACGAGCTCAAGAAGTCGTCAGTCCACTGGTGAGGGATCATTTTTAGGATCGACCCAGATTTCTAAGTATCATACATGGTCAGGTGTTGTTGGAGGAAGATAGAGGGGGAGGGTATATGGTTTGGGTTCGCAAGTCTATGCTTATGAGGGCAGTTCATCCACTTCAGCCTTTTATAATCCAAGTGGAGCTGAAGAAACTATAAGCTAGAGGATTACAGCGCTGACGAGAGAGATAGAAGAGATGAGAAAATTCAAAATGAAATGCAGGAAGAGCTATGATCCTACAAAGATGAAAATCAAAGGAAGAAAGAGCAAGAACAGCCATATGCATCTCCAGACAAAGAGGATACGGAGGAGGATTAGTACTCTTTTATGTTTGATGAACTTATGATGATCTGATTGTAAACTTATTTGGTTATGAACTTGTTTGGTTTAACTTATTGAACTTAGTTATGAACTTATTGAACTTAGTTATGATGATCGATTTTATCTGGTTTAACTTATGAATATATTTATGATAATTATTGTGATTGATTATAGTGGCGTGTTGCCCAAAATTATTGTGATTGCTATATTTTAAGTACAAGTTTAGAGTTTAGGGTGAAAATCCCTCAAATAGAGGGGAGGCTGTCAATTTTTTTTAAATGCTACAGGTTTCCAGCAGCCAACCGGCGGTTTAGCCGCCAAAAACATCGATACCGTACGGATAATTGACGCCTTCAAAAATCTACTAAAACCGCCGGTATATTCCGACGGTTTGCCGACGGTATCCGGCGGTAAACCGGCGTTTTTAACGGCGATTCAACGACCAGTACACTGCTGGTAAGAAAATCGGCGGTCTCCGGCGTAAGGTAGCCAGAAGATAACTGGTAGTATAAATCGCCGGAAAACTGTCGGTGAAGAAAATTGCTAGAAAAACACCACTGAGAAAGGTGTCTGGCGCCATTTTTTCTAGCAGTTTCTAAACCGCTGACAAGCCCCCGGTGTTTTACAAAATCGTCGGAAAATAAGTAGTAACTGCCAGTCCAGACCGCTGGTAATGAGTGATTTTCCTGTAGTGGTAATAAAATAAGGCTAAAATTATAATAAATATAATTATAACAAGTGCTTCATTTAGTTTATATATATATATATATATATATATACCGGTTGAATTAAAAAAAAAATCTTTCGCCCCCCTACAGCCGCTCCCGCCAGCTTCCCGGGTGACCCAATCCCGTCGGCACGCCAGCGCGCGCTCCAGCTGTCGCGCCAGACCGCGGGTCGCGCCAGACCCGAGCCCGAGTGCGCCGGTCCGCGCGCGTGAGCCAGCCCGAGCCCGAGTGCGCCAACTCGCCCGCACCCGCGTCTGTCTTCGCTGAGATTCGAACCGTAGACCTCCTCACCCGCAGCCCCGATGCCTGACCAATGCGCCGATTCTGCAAAATGGTTAATTGTAAGTATTTTTTTATTTATATTAAAATAGTCTGAATATTATAATTAAACATTATTTATTTAAAATTTTTATTTTAATTGATTATTAAAATAAACTAGTTAAGTAAAGCCGCCGGTAATCCGTCGGAATGCCGCCGGAAAATTCTGCGGGAAAATTTTGCGGGAAATTAGCTGTCGCAAAATTTTTCGGGGAAATTAGCCGTCGGAAAGCCGCCGGTAATCCGTCGGAAAGCCGCCGGAAAATTCCGCGGGATAATTTTGCGGGAAATTAGCCTTCGCAAAATTTTGCGGGGAAATTAGCCGTCGGAAAGCTGCCGGTAATCCGTCAGAAAGCCGCCGAAAAATTTTGTAGGAAATAAGCCGTCAAAAACCGCCTGAAATCCGCCGAAAAATTGACCGCCGGAAAGCCGCCTGAAAATTCCGCCGGTAATAAGTGTTTTTCCTGTAGTGTTTGGAATTTAGGGTGGATTTTGAACCATAAGACCCCAACATCTGAGAATATAATCCCAAATTTTGATGAATTATTCAACTCAAATTAAAGATTTCCTCGATCCAAAACATAAATCCTAACACTTAGTTTAGGTTGAGACACTTCTGAATTATTTCATAAACTAAAGGTGTTTTCTACCCCTCCTCCATTGACTCCAAAAATAAGTACTCCAACTCGATCCAATCTTAATTGAGATATCAAATTCAACTTATTTGATTCCTATTCTTGAAAAGTCTAAACAGAAATTTTGATGTTAATTTAATAGAGATTATTCATAAGAAATTCAACCTCCCTATGATATAATAAACTTCGAGGGCTTGCGCTCGTAGGAGTTTTAGAACCCACACTAACTTTTAAAAATTAGTTTTCAAAATCCAATTAGTCTTCTCCAAGAAAATTGAAGTCAACGACGATCGTTATCGCCATATTTGAACAATTAACAATGAATAATACTTTCTTCCTTTGGGGAGATATATCATTTGTTGACAAAATTTTGAATACAAAATTAGCGATAATTCATCTAGATTATTGTAGCTAGATATTCGATTGAACTACACTTTGACCCTTTAGGATCACATACGATTCTTTCTTAAATCTAGCTACATATATATTCAAGGTGGATTTTGCAATTCTAAATCTGTACCTCATTTTGAAATCTTATTTATATCTCTCGAGGTAGTATATATTTTTTGATGGGTTGTTCAATTTCAAAATTAAAATTCAAAGTCAATTTCAAATTCTCCAAAGAAGATTAAAATTTTCAAATTCGCTTTCAAACAAACAAAAGGACGTAAGTAATCATTTGATTGAACCATTATAAATTCTAGCGTGCTGATTCTGATTTCTTATTTTCCTCGCTTTACTATTTATGTGATAATTGCTTGGTGAAAATCGATGATTAATACTTCATTCTGTTGATAAGAATATCATCATCGTTTTTTTGACTTTTGATAAAATTATTCACTTCTACATCAAGCGATGATTGTTAATTATTTTTAATTATTGAAAAAAATTCAAAAATATAAGTGTTGTATTTTGAATTAAGCAATTATTTTTTAAATTAACTAATTCACCCCTCTTGCTAAACTATCAATTCAGTCAAAATAATGATGTTTTCACTAAAAATAGAGTAGAGACAACATATGTCATAAATGGCGGTGGATTTATGGCAGATTTTTTGTTACAATGTACGATAGATATTCTGCCGCAGTTTACTGAGATTTCATTGCACATATGCCACAAATTTTTCGCAAAATATTTGCGACGAATCTCTTCCATCGCAAATATACTTTTGTGATGCAGGTTTTAAACGACATATTCTACTCGGTCACAAATCCGTTGTAAAACAAAATTTTCGACGGATTTCTCTTGTTTTGTTGCGAATTATTCGGCCGCAAAAAGCTGAATTTCGAGATTGTGGTGTGAATCTTTCTAAGTTCTAAGAGGCAATGCAGTAGATCAACAAAGCAATCCTTGTACATGGGATATCGGGAGCAAGAGTTTGGAATTACTACAACGCTAGCTTAAGGTTTAGGGAAAAACAAATAAAGGAAGCATGGGCGGAACCCAATAGGTTCCAGGGGGGGCAGTTGTCCCCCCTCAAAATTTTTTTTTAATTTTTTTATATGATTTTTTTAGGTAATTTACCCATTTTTATTCATTTTTTAGTCTTTATTACAAGGGTTTTCATGCAATTGCCCTCCTAAAAATTTTAAAATACTATGGTCTTTAGGTAATTGCCCCCAACAGGTCGAACCCCGCCAGAAGACATTGCCCCCTTGGACCCCAACATATATGTCTTATAAGTTTGCCCCCCCAGAAAATTAGGGCTGGTTCCGCCCCTGAAAGGAAGGCTGATTTATCATACATTTTACAAATTTGCAACATTCCTAACTCTATCACATGAACTTTTATTATATCCAGTGAACGTACGCAGAGGAACCTTCGGTTTTAGGCAAAAAAGTGCATGTACCAAGTTTTTTGAAAAAACTCAGTACACCTCGGTACTCGGTACTCGGTACAGGCGTTTTTTTGCCTAAAACCGAATGTTCCTCTGCGTACGTTCACTGAATAAAATAAAAGTTCCTATCACATACCTATATTTTTTCCTTCTCTTGCCAATACTTGTGACAGACCATTTATCCGTCGTCATAAATATGCTACATTTTTGGAACATATTTGCGATAGTGTTACAAATCCATCGCAACACCGTATTGGTCAAATGTTCATTGCAATATTTAAGGCATTCATAATAGCATATATGGCGAGTCGTAAGTCCATCACAAAGTTATGACAGGCAGTAAATTTGATATTTCTAATAGCGCATGCATTTATGCTACTTCAATATGAATAATATCAACAAATTTGAAAATTCTAATTTAACAAAGCCTTCAACTTCATTAAAACTTGTTCACCAGAGATTTAAAAACCCCATCAAAACCTTGAAACAGTATAGAAAAAGAGCTTTAATCCCTCCATCAAAAGCTTTTCTTTCTGGGCAATAGTTGATTCAAATCGAAACCTTAATTGCATACCAAACAACCCTAAAGGCTAAAGGCCAAGTCTTAATCACACAGGAAAGAAAAATTTCCTGCCATCGTTCGCATACAGTGCTCCTGCTTAGCAAGCAGTTAATAAGGTCGGCTGGCAATTCGGTGAGACATTCAATGCAGCGCTTGAGAAAGCGTGGCCGTGAGCGATCAGAAACGCCCGCACGTGATTCTAAGCCTGGCCCGCGGCCTGCCGCGCCGGCCCGCTCGCCGGCCACCGACGCATAGTGCACCTCTTTACCAACGCATAAACAGCAGGGTTCATTGTACCGAAATAAACGATTTCAAAAAGCTGTCAGAGCTCGATAGCTTCACAGTTTCCACAGAATAATAGCCCAACCAGGAATCCATTGATGGCCAGTAACAGTACATAAAGCAAAAGGATGATGACCTAAATACACAGACTCATAAACTATAACACTTTATGATCTTCTTAGAACAGTTTCAGAATTATAGGGAAATATAAAATCTATAAGAGCCATGGCACAAGGAAAGCGGAGTCAATACCCGAACCGCCACCGCTGTTCGATGCCATTCCTTACCTCTCACCTCATAGCGAGGTTCGTTCTTGACTCGACCCTGACCGCATTGCGCACAGCAACCATGCAAACCACAACCATTTCTTCTCTTCTTAGCCCACTTTATTGTTCCCAACAACAACAACAAAAAAAAAAACCAAAAAAAAAAAAAAAGTCTAATTAACTGATTATTAGCGCTTCTCTCTCTCTCTCTCTATAATATATTAATAGATATAGATATATATATAATACGGAAAAATTAGGTAGCTTTGTGGGGTTGGGAAATTCAGCTTTAGCAAGTCAGTGCGGACTTGATTTTCAGGACGGTGCAGGAAATTAGGCTTTTGACTGTGTCGACCGATTGAACGGTGAGCTCAGCCGTGGAGAGGGTGGTGACAAGAATCTGGAAGGCTACAGTAAGTAGGGATCCTCCTACGCTGCCGGAGCCACCACTGCCATCAGGTAGAATGGCGAAGCCGGAGGGCAGCAGCGCAACGTAGGATGAATCGCCGCCGTTCATGACAAGGTTAATGGCAGGAGCGTCGACCGGGGCGTAAACCACCAATGAGCCCGCCGCATCTGTGCTTGTTTCTTGCAGTATCAACATGCTCTCATCTTCATGTTTCTGATTTCCATTGGCATCCTGCAACAGCAATGTACTTTTTTACGATTTCAATATGTATAAAATACAAAAAAAAAAAAGAAAATCATAGGATGAGTAAACTAAAAGTTTGTTTTTTCCAAAGATCAAGCACAGAAATATAAATTATTCAAATTTAAATTTATGAACAAAGAGAACAAACACCTTATAAAATACTATAAAGTTAAATTTATATGACAAATACAGCCTTACTCTGAATTAATAGTTACAGCGACGAAAAAAAAAATAAAAATAAAAAAATAGTTACAGCGACGATGAGGAAGCCGATAATCAGCAACAAGCTAATAAATATGCTTATTTTCAAAACTTTTTTATTTACAAAATTTACACTGCGTGAAGAGCACAGAGTTAAAATTCTTTCTTTTTTACACAAAAATAATATTTTGATTTTTAAAGGAAATTGTAAAGCATATATACATTCGCATGTCAGGAAAGATTCAAGCCTAATTGCTCTTTTTTGGGACCAGCGATTGCCCATTAAATTATTAATAAAAAAAAACTAGCGAACGGTCCAATCCATGCAACTGCGCCTGGCGCCTCCGATTTACGTCAGCGGAGGAAAAGTCTCACCGTCCTCCTGTACTGATAAAGGCATCTTACGACTTGGGTCCTCCTTTTCACCAACAGCAAACAAAGAACTTTACGCAGAAGACTTCCGCAGCCTGGTTATTTTTCTTCATCGTGTATCAAGTGGAATATTTTGCGATTTAATTTTGTAATTTATATTATAAATTTTAAATTTTGAATGCACTTACTTTAATGATCAATCCATAATATTTTAGGTAAAAATTTTGAGAACAAATTTATTCTGTATATGAAAAAAATAAATGAAGAAATTTAGAAGGGGAAAGGAAGACGGGTTATTTTTTACCATAGAGGAAGAGGTGGCGGGGACAGTGGCGCGGAGGAGGGATACAGCGTTTCCATGGTCCTGGCCCTTGGCTATATGGGCGACCTCCTGCATAGGGCCACCATTGGAAAGAATGTCCCACTCCCGCCGCAGATGCTCGTCCCTCAGGAACTCGAACAAGCGCTGTGCAGAGACCAACGGGAGCCACACGGACGTCGCCGCGCTCAGTACAACCCCAGGAGGCTCACCGGGATCATCCACGCTCTGCCTCGTCATAACCCGCACCATGTCCTCCCCGACCTCCACCGACCGCAGTTCCCTCCACTTCCTCTCCGCCCAAGCGCACACTCCGGCGCAGAAGTTTTCCGTCATCCTTCCCGCCAGCCGCAGCATGCTTCTCCTCCCTGCAACCGTTATCGCCGCTGTATGCGGCGAACACAAACCATTGGTCAAAATGCAGTGCGCACTTTGCAATATCAAATAGATAGATTTATGGTGCTCACCGGGGTTATCGCCGGGCGGGGGCGAAGAGGCGGCCATTATGGCGAGGCATTCGGCCTGTCGCTGGAGCGCCGAGAGCCACCGACGAGCGCCGAGGCCAAGGCCAGAGCGCAGCGGAGGACGGAAGAGCTGGTGCACCGCCGTTTCGTCGTATTCCGCGTGTTCCACCCATGTGACCTGTGCGGTTGATCATCAAACCCGCACGTGAGAAATAAATTTGAGTAATTAAACTATTATTCTAATTTTTATTGGATCCTGCATTCCTGCTACAACTTAGGATTCCAGAGAGAGAGAGAGAGAAGCTGTATCTCACAAGTTCTTCCATTTGAAAACCTAAAGCTGCTTTTTTTATTTTATATTTCAACATATTAAAAATCATTAAAAATGTAACTTTCAATTTTAAAATTAATTTTTATTTGAATATGGAGCAGATATATCACAAATTTTTTAATTGTGTTTAATTTTATTCTTATATAACACGAAATGCTATTTTTACTCAAAAAATTATCAAATTTAATATAATTTTCCGATATCAAATTCATGTACTGATATTCCCCTCTATCCTTAAAAATAAAAATATTGGTATATCTAAATTTAGGAAAAATTAAGAAAAGTAGGATGCCTCCTCGTGACTTGCAGCAAGTACTATTGTTGAAAAGTGGAACCCTCTCCTCTCTCCTCTCTCTCTCCCTCTCCTCTCTCCTCTCTCTATCTGTTCATATTTTCTTTACTATAGAAAATAAATTATAAAACAAATTTATAAATATAATATTTAGTTAAGAGAGATATTTACAAAATAAGTTATGATTGAACATTATTAAGCAATTATAAAATTCCTTTTATATTCTAAAATAAATTTATTATTTTATATATTTGACTAAATAATTATTTAATGATTTATATTCTCCTCTTATAAAAACAATTATTTAATTGAAGATCCACGATCCGTTTTTAAAGTATTAATAAAGAATGGACAGGAATAACGATCACCAGCACATGAACAATAAATTACAGCAATTATGACCGAAAACAAAAAGAAGACAGCTTCGAGGGGTCGATACCTTGGAATAGCCGCTGGGCATTGCTTGCACCAAAAAGCCCGACGGGAGGCGCCGGCAACTCATGTGAGCGCCGGAAGCAGCGAGGCTTTCGCGAATGCCGTCCACTGAAACGTCAACGACGGCCCACACACCCTCCGCGTGCTGCTTGCAGAATCTCAGGAAGCTCACCTCCCTCACCGGCACAAGCGGCGTTAGAACTTGCAGCTCCGCATGCATCTTGGATGCCAAAAACAATCAGTTAATACGCATATCGCATTTTGATTTAGAACAATTCGTAAAGGGGATTTTTTTTTTCTCACCAGTTGCAATGCGCCGTTTCGAGTGCCCCCCATGCCGCTCGATATGATGTCAATGGTGCCGGCTTTGGCGACGATGCATGGGAACATTTTCGCCCAACGGGTCTGCTTTGAAGAATTTAGATCATGATATTAAAGAGTAAAGAGTAAGAAAGAAAGAGTATGGTATTTAAGAGATTATGATCATGAAAGTGCTGACCACATCCATGAAGGAATCAATGAGGATCATGCTATTGATGAGAACGATTCCCGTCTCTCTCGTTGCCTCCGAGACGAACTCAGCCGGCTTCGGGCCAACGCAACGATGCAAAGATCTTGAGTATTCGTCTAAGTTGAGAACCTCGCCCCGGCCGTCGATGTTCGGGATCCAAAAGGGAGCGTCCATCTGCGCCAACTTTATTAGTTCATCCATTGCTGCCAACGCAAGCTCGAGCAACATCGACCTCTCGGAGCCGGCAAGGACGGCACGTGCGGGCTGCAGCATGGAGCTTCCGGATGGGTAATTATCCCCGCCGCCCATTGCAGTGAGGGCCGTGAAGCCAACGCCGAGGTCGAGTGGCGCCGGAGAGAAAGGGGATGATAGAGAGGACATGGGGCGGCCGAGGAACCTGGAGGCTAGGGCGCACACGCGGTCGAGTTCGTCTTTGAGGCGTGCATTTTCAATCCTGAGGTGTTGCTCTTCAAGTGAAACCTCCCCAAGCATCGCCGGACTACCGCAGGAGCCGCACACCGGGCTTCGCATCGCTTCCCTGATGGTCAGGTTCTCAGCGCGGAGCTTGTCGTTCTCCGAGCGGAGAATCGAGTTTTCGTGCCGCTCGATCTGCGTCTGCATCCAAATCGCTCGACGATTACATATAAGCAAACGGCGAACAAATTAATAAAGAAGACAATTTTGATTTAATTTCTCTTGCCTTCATCTGCGTGCGGCGGTTCTGGAACCAGAACTTGACCTGGCGTGGGTCGAGGTTGAGACGCTTGCTCAGCTCCATTCGTTGCTTTTCATCCGGGTGAGGGCACTCCTTAAAGAGACTGTACCATGATAGTATTGAGTTCGAGGGGATGGAATATGAATATAAAAGTGTTTATAATTAAAAGAATTAATAACCATGTCTTACGCTTCGAGCTCTTGAATTTGTTGTGGAGTGTGGCGGTGGTATCTCTTCTTCTTGCGAGGATTCTCTTGGTCGATATCGTCGCCGGAGCCGCCTTCGAGGTTGTCACTACCGCCTGATCTGCTCTCATTCTCATCCTCCCTGTTCTTAACCATCGTCTCCGCATCTCCGGTAAAAACTCCTAATCTGCTCATCTCCCCCTGTCCGGCGGTGTTCATTTGCTGCCCGCAATATCAGGTACTTATAAAATCCAAATCAAAAGATGGAAACATTGAAGCTGAACTTAACTGAACGCTTACCAGGCCGAGGGAGAGGCCGGGAGAACTGAAGGCTGGATTTGAGAGAAGACGCGTCTGCTGTACGCCTCCGGCGGAGTACGGCGGCAGACCGCCGGAGCTACCAGAGTCGAATAAGCCGTCAAAACTCATTTAAAATTCCTCCCTTTTTCTCCCACAACGAGTTTCAATATATAATCCCTCTGAAACCAATATATACCTCGAACCCCCAACCGCCAAACAGATCCCGAGCACACTGAAGAAGAAAAAAGGAAAGTCGAGGAAAAAAAAAAACTGAGGGACAGAAAGAAAACCCAGAGTATCAAGGAAGACAAACAAGAAACGCTTAAACGGAGCTTCGATCTTCTCCCTTTTCAATAAACAACGCAAAGGATCCGGATTTATTGGACGGAAAGGAAGAGATAGAAGCCAAGCAAACAGAGCCAAAAGCTAACTTAGCGCCTCCTTCGCCACCTCCCTCCAAACAAAACCAAACAAATTAAGATCCCGAGCTACCCCCTACGGAGAAGATAGGCGAAAACGGCAAAAAAAAAAAAAAAAGGGGCTCAAACCCCGCTGCCAGTACTGTAGCGGATGGAGATGATAGAAACACGCACATGTGGACTCAGAGAAGCCTCACAAATTAGAGAAGCCGCTTCATCATGCGGCGCTCCTTCGAAAAACTACCACTCAGATAAAACTAAATTAACGAAAAGAAGAAGAATCTCACACAGGTGAAAGCTGTGTAAAATCCAAGTTGACCTAAAAAGTCCAAACAGATAAAAAAAAATCATATAAAACTGCAACTTGGATACGAACAATCCCCTCCTTCCAACTTCCCGATCGCCTCTGCTCCTCCTTCAAAAAATTACACTTTTCATCAATATACTAAGCTACAAATACAAATAAATAAACCAAGACAACAACTCTGAAAGAGAGAGTTCATTACCCAATTCCTCTCTCTCTCTATCTTACTCTCTGTTGCGAAAGAGACCGAACTCAAAGATGTCAAACGGAAGCAGAACAGTCCAAAACTAGGCGCGTGAGTTATTTCCATGGCGGACTGCGGGCCTACAGGAAGATATAACCGTTTGGTACCGTGTGAAATGACTTAACTACCCCAATAACATTTATAAAGGACGGATAGGTCATGTTTGGGTAGCCATCTGATTAGCTAATCTTCACCGTCGGATCTCGTGAGCACCCCATCCAACGGTTCATCCAAAGGGTATCGCCACTGCAAGATAGGGACCAAGGAGATGGCCCGGGAAAGGATCAGGGCGCAATTAATGAGCGGGTCCGGTGCGGGGGTGAGGAATACGGTGCCACCAGCTTGTCCTCATTAATGTTCACATGTGACACATTAATTTTTTTTTCTTTTATTTTTTTTAAATATCTATGATCTTTATTTTTAATTTTTTTGTTTCATTAATAAAGTGATGGTTAAAGCCAGTGCGGGTACTTTTAAATTAATATTTTTTGATTAGGCCATTAACTTCGGCATATTAAATAATTAATTGGAATGCTTATTGTCTATTAGAAGGGCGATTCATAAATAAGTATACTAAAATGACTAATTATTAGGTTGATTTAAAGCATTTTAGCTTTTATTTTTAAATGCAATTGACTTTTATTTATTTAAATTAAAATTTAAGCCATAAATTTAATGAATTTATCATAGTTGATTTTAATGGTGAATCGTAGCGTTGAATATAGTGAGGTTAGGAATGTAAGGAGGCTGATATTAATGCAATTACGTGACCTACAAAGGACAACAGTAATAAGTTGTTAAAGAAATATTATACTTCACAAAAAATTATTTAAAAAGCATATTAGGTAAGTATTTGATAAAATAATTTAATAATTAAAAAAATTTTAATGAAACTAACACTAAAAAAAATTTAATTCACATATCATGTGCTAGAATATTCACGACAATAGAAGGAAAGGATTTAATGGCTTAATTTTGTATAGATGTAGCATACGGTGCTTTAAAATAGAGATATTCCCTATTGTTTTGGAATGGATTGTTATATTGTAGTTGTCATGAATTGTATATGATGTATTTAATTGTATATATTAAAAGAGCGTTGAGACTTTTGAGTTGCCTTAGTGAGATTATTTGTTATTTATGTTTTCATTTTTATTTGAGGAAAGAAGACTAGAAAATCATTAATCAAGTATAAAATATTGTGATATAATGAGTTAGAATTGGTATTAATGTTGCGTGCATCAGCTTTATTAATGATGGAGGGCATTGATATTATTGACGATAGTGGGAGATAGAGTCAACAACCGTCCTCATTAGTGTTGATAAGTTGTATTGTCCTAATAAGCGACGAGGTGCGCTAATGTTGTTGGCGGCAATGGAGGTGAACTTTTGCTACAAAATGCATTTGTGTGTTGCATGCATCAACCATATACATGCAGTAGCATGAGTTGATATTTTGGTAATGGCAGACATTAAAATTTTTGTGGCTAGTTTGGATGTGCTTTATCGATGATGTCATATATCAACTTTGTCACGATTGTGAACTCTCAAATTTATTAAATTTGAGAGTTCGACGAGTTTATAGGATTTAGTCAAAGAAGCGGGCAAAACATAGAAAGATTTTTACCTTCGTGGCCAGCTCCCATCATGACTTCCGATCAGGCAATCTCTTTATGACGACTAACAAGATTTTCAACATGTTTAGCTGCAAGTAAGAGAAGAAAGAGTTGACCAAGGATTATTTTATTGAATAACCACTATTATTTTCCCTATTATCTTCTATATGTCAGTTAGGGATTCTAAATTAATTTTTAAAAGCCCTTACTTCAAGTTATTTAATAAATTAAACATAATACATTAATGAAAAGTTAATTAATCTTGGTAATTATTATTAATTATTATAAATTTTTAATTTTTTTTCGTATTTGATTAGTTTAATGAGTTACTAATTAATAACTAATTTGGATATTATATAATATATAACAAGTACTATCTGATTAAATTAATTAGGGATGAAAAATAATTTTTAAATTAGAATTTGTGTTTCATTAGTTTGAGACATCACTAATTAAAAACTAATTGGGATATTCATATACAATAAGTATGATTTAGATAATCTCATTATATTGTGTAACATGTTTTAATTTTGTCATGGATAATTATTATTAAAATCTTATTGAACTAATAGGCTTGAATCATAAAATAATTATTGTGTGAGATGAATCATTTATTTCATATTTTCAAACATGGAAGTCTGTGTCGTTGAATATAGTATATCTGGTTCTTAAAAAAAATTTCTTGTGCAAAATTATCATTTAAACAAATTACATGATGCGACTACTTTTTAAATATCTACAAAGCTCCCATGGAAGCCATAATCTAAGTAAAACATTTTTAATTATAATTTTGACATTTTCTAAAGTTGTCGTAGGAATTGAAATCAAAATTATTTAAAAAAATTACTACAAACTATTCAAAATTACTCAAAAATGGATACATAGGCTCTCTTAGGCTTCAAAAGTATTGAAATAAAGTTTGAAATATTAATAAATATTCATAGGGACACCCAAATTAATGGAATATGCATGTTTGTACCCAAAAATAATTTTAATATTAGATTGGCCTAGGGTACCAAGATGGCTAGTAGTAGTCGACACAATGTAAGGCATGGTCATCTGCTCTGTAAAGGCACATGAATAGAGTTATTTTATTTTTATTGTTTAAAATATTTTTTTTAAGAAATGGATGCCTATGATTTTTTATTTATTTTTACAAGAAAAAGCTAAAAATTATTTTTCTATGAAATAAATGTAACTTATTCCCACAAAATTGTTAAAAAAACCTTAAAATTTTGAAAATTATAAGAAAAACTTAGAAGTTCTTCTTCTTCCTCTTCTTCTTCTTCTTCTTCTTCCTCTCTCTCTCTCTCTCTCTCTCTCTCTCTCCAAGTGTAAATAATATCATGGGTGAGGGAGAAATTCACACAAACAATTAAAATTCTTATGATGGAACTCTATTCATCTCCTAAAAAGAATTTTATTATATATATATGGATAAATTAAAGTCGAGATGTAACAGTCCTTAATTGCATTAGACTAATGACCTATAAATGATTCGTGTAAGATTTGTTGCTTGGAAGAAAACCTTGGTGAGTCGTGCATGGCTTGGGCGTTTGCGACATCGACCTCTTGAGTTTAAAGTGATTAAGAGGAGCATTATGACACTTATCTCATAAGCACTACAACACCAACACAATCAAAATATTTTTATATATACAATATACAAATCCATTCATTCGAACCTCACCATCCCTCCCCAGTTGCATACATGCCCAGGTGAGGAGAAGGAGGAGAAGGGGAAGAAAGGAGAGAGGGGTGATAAAGTAGGGATTCAGAATGTATCTCTCATAGATCACTCCAATTATGAAAGTAGTTTTAATCATGTTTGATAACCTTTATCCTATGTTTGCTATAAATTATTTTGATTTCTAAGATTTTTTCTCTCCCAAATCTTTTTGAAATTGTTTATATCCTGATTTAATTAGCAAGTTTTTATAGTGTAACTTTTGATATCCGGTAGATATTATCATTTTGAATATTTTGACAGGTTCATATTAAAATTTCACTAGTTGGATTTGCATATGTGCCATTTTTACTAGAATTGAATAGAGTAATAATAAGTGTAAAAGATCATTAGTCAATATACTAAATATGAATATAAAAACAACACATGTTTATAATTACTATTTATTTAGCATAACATGCATTTGACATACATACTGATGGGTGCATTAGATTGATTTACATGCTATTATACACTACAGGAAAAATGGCTATTACCGGCGGTTCCAACCGGCGGTTCATGGACCGCCGGCGTCTGCCGGTGTTTTTTATATGTTAAACCGCCGGTATTAACGGCGGTCCAAAAAACCGCCGGCAAACTGCCGGATTCTAATATTCACCGGCGGTTTAGCGGCGGCCTGGACCGCCGTTGATAAGTAATTTTGTACCGGCGATATGGACCGTGTGTTTCTATTCACCGACGATTCTAAAAAATCGTCGGATTCTAATATTCACCGACGATTTACGGCGATTTTACAAGAACTGCCGACGCCATAATACCGTCGGTCAGCCGTCGGTATCATGGCCGTCGGTAAGCCGCCGGTGTTATGACCGGCGGTTAATCGGCTGGTACACCGCCGGTTTATAGTTGTGGAATTGCCTGCGGTATTAACCGTCGGCAAACCGTCGCCGACTTAGACTGCCGGTAATAACCGCCGGTACTAAATTTCCTACGCTGAATATTCCGGCGGTCTATTTCCCGTCGGAGAACCGCCAATAATGGTAATAACCGCCGGTAAATATGGGTTTGTAGTTGTCGTAAGGTGTTTTCCTTACCGAGATGGTGTTGTCTCCATGATGACTGTGGAATCCACAGCAGATTAAGTTTAAATAGGAAGCCATGTCGAAGGGAAAAGTCTTCGAAAATGGTATCTTCCTTGCAATGTTCCCAGATCTTGCTGAAATCGGCGTCCTGGGCATATAGTTCCTTCAAATGCTCAATTCCCACTAGATCAGTTTAGAGCTGTGTAAGCAGCAACGATTTCCGGCTGAGTGCATCGGCGACTTTGTTGTCAATTCCGGGCTTGTACAGGATCGGTAGATAACAAAAAGCCTTGTACAGGATCGGTAGATACCTGGAAGAAATACACAAAACAAAGCAAAGCAACACAGGGAAAAGGTATAGGAATACCTCTGTATATTCTGTATTCTTCTTGAGAATAACGGATAGAAGATAACAAAAAGCTGTCTTACCTTGCCCTCTTTTCTCCTATATGTATCTCTTTGCTATACTATTTTCCTAATTACCATAAAGTTGTAAATAAAGCTATAAAGTACTGTCAGATAAAAAGCAAAAAGGCAATACTAGGTAGTGGAACCATCAGCAACCGTTTTAGTGATAGGATGTACCGCCTGCTTGGTTTATTTAACCTGCACTGCATCAAATTGAAATCAAAATTATTTAAAAAAATTACTAC